CCCCAGGCAACGCAACCCAGAAAACATCDTACAGGAGATACTGAAAGATTCACCACTTCCCTACACCGCAGCAATGGCAAAGATGACAATACAGCTTCATCGCACCAAGTTTGAGAGACCAGATATAACAGCCCTTGTCCCAGAACTGGAAACCCTAGATATATCCACTAACATGTATACAAATGAAACCTCACACACTCTTCCTCTCAAAAACACCAACACTATTCATCCCACCATGGGATTCATAGTCAGCAGCCATCCGGACATAACAAACGCTGTGGAACTCACAGCTATCCAACCAGGAACTATAGCCCATACACGGATCAGGGGATGGAAAAGACGTCTCCGAGGGACGATCATCACTAAGGTGGAAGATAGAGCTATCCGCAACAGACAAGACATCATTGACGCCATCCAACATGCCAAACAAACACACCRAACTACTATTAAATTTACATTTGGTTCCCTCACTGGATTTGCACTCAGTGGTGAAGGCGTCCCAACACTCCAAGCAGACCAACTAAATGTCATAGCCCATCACCTCCACTCCCTCAATCATCAGCAAGACCTATGGCAAAACAAACAAGATTGGCCACAACCRATTGATTCGCCCGAGACTACAGCAACACAAATACAGATATCGAAACTAACTCGACGGAAACTCATGCAAACATCACAATGGGATGGATTCCTACAATCTGAATGGAAACAACTTAACCGGTACCACAAAGTGGGAATGTTTGGGGATCCAGTAAATGCAACACCAGATATGACAATCCTTCCGTGGGTCTGGACATATATTGAAAAAGAGAACCCGTTAACAGGCGCCAATGAGCCTAAATCGCGGGGCACATGCAATGGTGGGAAAAGATATGGAAAGGCCGTTACCCTAGCTGAAACATATGCAGCATGTGTCGAACAGCCAATCCACAGACTCACCTGGGCAATATCAGCAGCACTTAACCTCATCTGTGTGGGTTATGATGTTGGAAATGCCTTTGCAGAAGCACCACCGCCTAAATCCCCATTCTTCATGAAAGTAGATGAGCCCTTTCAACAATGGTGGACTGAATGCCTACACAATGAGCCCATTCATCCCAACCAAGTCATCCCTGTTCAAAAAGCACTGCAAGGCCACCCAGAAGCACCACGGCTATGGGATAAGTATATTACAGGCATTCTCACCAAAGAACTCGGATTTAAGACAACCACACACGAACCATGCTTATACTATAAACATGATAACACAGGCCTAACACTCATCCTCAGGCAAGTCGACGACTTCCTAATAGCCAATGCTGATGAATCCGTATGTGACAACATAAGGCAACTAATACAGGATAGAATGACCAATCCCCTCAACATACTCGGCACTATCAGAAAATTCAATGGGATCCATGTAAATCAAACCCGACACTACAATCACTTACACTGTTGCACTTATATCAAAAAGATATCAGCCCACCACGGCTGGGACTTAAATGAAGCTAAGAGACGAACGCGAAAGAGACCCACACCAATGAATGAAAGTGCCGCATATCAGAAACAAATACAGCTATCAGAGGGCCCGGAAGACCCAATAGACGCGTATAAGCTACAACAATCAATGGGCTTTAATTATCGCCAGTGCATAGGAGAATTAATCTATGCCCTCACAATTGTTGTCCGTAGGATATCAGACCGTGGGTATGATTCATACATACGACACATACATACGATACGTATCTACGACTCATACACACCATACATATABGACTCACGCGATCCCCTAGGATTCATATGATCGACGTGACTCATCTCATTCACATGCGTGAGTGACTTTACTCATTCGATTCACATCTCACTCGATCCCCACAGCGATCCATTCTAGATTTCATAGTTTGTCGATCCTCGATAAGAGCATCGACTCACTTTTCTATTAGCACACACTTTACATCACTTTAGGACAGTCACTCCCACAGTTTATGACACCCTTCCAATAAAATTCATCACCACCATGGTGATAATTTTTTAGGCGTGCTSTCTCCTTAATACGAACTCTACCGACGCAACGTCGACACACACCTTTGAACACAACGATCGACGGCRCATGCGCCCGTCACCACCATCATCGACAACGCATACACCTTGTCCACACCATCRTTTTCGAAATTACCGATTTCGCAACGATCGCCATTGTCGCCGCTCACGACGTTTTCTCGCACCTCAAAACTTTCGAACTTTTCTCACTAATCTTGTTTTACGACCAACGAAACTTATTCGGCGACAACAAACCCGCTTCTATTTTTTTATTCCCACAACGAAATAAAAATAAATCCCACGCGTACATTCGCGCGTACCACCCATAAATCCTTTACTCCCACACCGCAACCATCTCGCGTTACACGCGACCACTTCCCGTCCCGCGTCCGTCCCACGTTACCGTAAAACTTCAATAAAGACACAATTCAAGCTTCTCACAAAAACCGCACTTTTACGATAACACTGCACTTCGAACCGCTTCACAACACTCATCATAAAATATATCTCTTTTAATTCGAAATATATTTCATTCTTCCATTGTCACCTCAACCGACAACTGCCAAAATGAGTAAAACTAGAAGCAAAAGCGCGAAGCGCACCTTCCACCCTGACATCGACTCCATCCATGCTGTCTTCCTTGC